TCATATGCATATGCTGCATTTACAGAGCACAGGACTTCACAAGCAAATTCAGCGAATTCAAAATGACATCCTTATTCTAGCACCTGTTTCTATTCAAACATTCACAGCTGAAAAAAGGGGCAACTCGGAAGATATAAATTGCCACTATCGTCAGCCACTTTGTGAATTATTAACTCTAATAGTACCAGCTTAAAGCTTAGAGGAGTATAAATTATGAGAAAGTGGTCACGTGACCGTGACCGCGATCAGTGGTCATATCAGGTCAACAAACTTTGCGATGGCTGGAATTGATACTGTGGGCTACAGACTTCAGTCACAATATTGTTAATTAAATTACAATTATTAGAAGGGAAAGTATCCAGGTACCACACTGACGCTGATAAAGGGTTTCATGCTGATCGGCCAAAGCGTTTACTGGAGATAACAAAAACCAAAACCTGAGAAACCAAGTACGCAACCATGGAGGAACTACACCAGTGTATAGGCAGCCTACGGGACAGGTCTATACATGTTTGGAGACTACTTACTGTTGTCATGGAGCTTTATATGCTTCTGCACAATTGCTTATGTGAATGAACAGGAACATTTTTTTAGATATGCGCAATACATATGTCTGTGCCTCATTGCACAATGCTAATTGTGTCACTTGTTTGTGCAATTGTACTGCAGGTTTGCAGTGCACTACGGGAAAAAAAGGGTTTATAACAAATGATTTTGACCTTTAGCACAAGTTTGTATTGTTGCATTGTTCTGCACGGTATACAAACATGTATCCCCCTTGATAAACCCATATGCTGGGGTGGTTTGGGCTTCTCTGGGGTAATTTATAGGCAGTACTTTTTCCAGCACAAAGACTTAAATGTGTAGGGATGGGAACTGGGATCGCAACCAACCCACCCCAAATTTTAAATCTGTCAAAATTAAATGAAAATCAATTGTTACTTCTTTTTCCCCCTTTATTATTATTTATTTATTTCTTATTTCAACTGGGTGGCCCATTCAGTGGAATCCACTGGTCTCCCATGGATCCCAGCATACATAAAAGACAATAAACATAAACAATTAACAAGAGAAATACACATTCACAAAAAATCACATTTACTTTAAAAGTCATCAAGCAAAGAAATAAAGACCCTCCCAAAGCAATTACCAGAAGCATTAATTGTCATTTAAGTCCCTAGTTGGTGTAGGCTAGGCTGCACCCTCGCATCGCATCGTAGTTTACATACTAAAAAAAAAACCACACAAAATGCATACGAATGTAACGAAAGATAAAACTGACGACACATGATGTTTAAAAAGACCGACATCTTAAAAAATCCACTTTATGTATGCACATATAAACCCTCCCAAAGCAAATAACCAAAACCATTAAATTTACATGATATCAAGTCTGCTGCAGAACTTTACAAGGGGGCTCTGTGGTGGGCTCCATTTTTCAGCCATATGTCCAAATTCTCCAGGAATTGAAATTGCCCACATGATGTTCAAAATATTTTAATTTATACGCTCATTGTCATTTTTGCAGGTACAGTGTGTATACAAATCTGGATTGGCAACCCATTAAATTTTCAATTGGTTTACTTACACATACATTTGTAATTCAAATTATGCTGGCGTATGACTCACTTTGATCAGTGCATATTGGAAATGTTCAAATATTCGATCGAATCCATAGTTTGAATAATCAAATTGTAAATTATTTGAAAATGCCGCATCACTATGCCAGTGTTTCCCCTGGCTAATGAAATGAGCGAGATAGTAAAATTTCAAATTGATGATTGAAACAAAATTGATGCAGTTTGCAAACTCAAAAGGATGCTGCCCTTACAAAAATGCGAGATGATTCCATTTACACATCCAAATTGTGAGTTCTTAATACATAGAGGTCAAGGAAAACGCTCATAAACTACACAAAATAAAATATTTTTCAATTAGTATTCCTTTATTGCAAATCTTCACAGCGAGGTGGTGATATTGACAAAAATTGAGCACGGTGATCACTGAAAGTAGCGAGGTGGGCCGCCTCACGTTTGAATGGGCAGGGGAAACATTGCACTATGCATTTGTGTCAAGTCGTGTATCATGCAAATATTGAATTGAGAATATGGCAACAAAATTGTATTAAAATGTTACACACGTACATGTACATGTGGCATGTTTATACTTTGCTGTAGAAGTCTGTAGGCCTATCCTAAGTGGATGGCTTAATTTTTAATATCAAATGGATGTGAATAGGGTCGTACGTCATGGCTGTGTCTAATGTATGCCAAATATACGAATATTGAATAATCCACCGTGTATCGGAACATAATTTTTTCAAAATTAGTTATGTGTTCTGGAGAAGATGATGAAAAACATATCATGATGTTATTTTAATTGTATAAGGTGAATGGTTTTATTCAGTGTTTGTCATGTGCCATATTTTGTCAACAGTCATTGCTAATTTTCAAAAGGGGTGCCGGAAACCTGATCAGCTTAATGGCATGTACAAAACCAGTTCGGTGTCTCGATAAATATCCCGAATGACATGTGACTTGGAAATACATGATACATTTTGTGGAAAACGTATCATTTATGTCCAACTCTTAATAAGCTATTGCATTATGGGTGTTTATTGCCCTTTTGTTCTAAAATTTTCATGAAAAACATTATAGCCCAAATTCTGTGATTTCTGTGATAAAGTGAGACTATTGCACATCAGTCGTTCAAATTATTACTAAATCTTTAGTCTTTTTGATTGATTCACATGGATAAGGCAGATATTTACATTTAAACCCTCCTTAACCCTAACCACCCCAACTCCATCAAAATCCATCCCCGCCCACCCCCATTTTGTTGGATTTTGGGGGACTTGGTCCAGAAAGCCTGGCGTGACTAAATATTGATGGAGTTTGATGGACTTTGGCCTAATAATGGCCTGAAGCAGTGCTATGGGGTAGGCCGATTGATTTTAAAGCCATGTGTAGCAAGTGCATGAATGTCTACCAGTGCGCCAACCAATGGTGGATTCCATTATGTCATGTACAGTTTTGTATTGCAAGCACTGTGATTGATGGATTTTGATGGACTTGGTCCATTTCCTAGTAAAAGACGCTAGGGAGTTGGGTATTCTATTGTCTTCTGCACTTTGCAACCAGTTTTTACATAACCACTTTTTATCCAGAGTTAATTGCATCCATGCACACTTCAGATGCCAAAGTACGGGTACACCTAATCCTTCTGTCATGTCGGTGGATTATGCATGGATATTTACTTCAAATTCCTGCACAATTCCTTTGTGTGGTTATATATTTACATGTAGCTCATCAGGGCAAGCAGGCAGATTCGGTCAGGCTTCGGTGCTCTCCATAGTGCTGTTTTGTGCTGTGACTCTGAGTGACAAATGAACTCAAACTACAAGGTTTTTTTACATATTGCTCTGAATATATGAATGCACTCCAATCCCTCCTTTTGTGTACCTACCTGCACCATACTTGATAGTGTACCTGCATTGTACCTGCACCATACATGTACTTGATAGCGTTGTCACTACAAATACCATTTTACATTAAAGTGAATGTACTATATCATTGGCTTTTGCTGCAATTTAGAAATGAACTAATTGAGGGGTTAGTATAATACATGTAGATCAAATATCGTTACCCTGACATGTTTGAAGTTGTTTGTTCGAAAATGCTGGGAAAAAACAAGAAAAACAAAAATGTTCAAGTAGTCTGGTTCCCTAGATGCCGGAAAATTGTAAGTTAAAGGAACCAGTTTAGCTGGATTGCATCCATTCATGAACATGTATAGCAAACAAAATTTGAACTGAAATAAAAGGTAAATTTGGAGCAGTAGTTGAAAAATAGTTTGGTTTTTCCAACAGTGGTCGGACGACCACCATTGGAAATTAATACAAAAATACAACTTTTCTTGAAAATGACTTCACACTATGTGCCATAATTTTACAGGAGTCTTTAAACTGTCATTTACCAACATCCTAGCAAGGTATTTCGTAAAAAAATTGGTAGTTTTGTTTTTGGATATTTGCAAATGTTGTATATATTCCTTTTAAGTTGTATTGAGCTCTTATACTGACCTAGCTACGTGACCCTGCCTAGTACGGTACCTGTAGTAGGCAGGTCTTCAAAAATATGATTGATGGTAAAGCCGTGAGAAAAACGCAGAGCCTAACACTCAGTGCTGACTGCTGGGTCGACATGGTAGAATATTCATGAGATAACCATTTTTTTATTGTGTACCCTGAATTTTATTTACACATATATACACGACTTTGTCGCGCGTATTTTATAAACATGCACAAATCAATGAGCATGTTTACATTTATGCGACACAGTCGTGTGACTTATCGCACTAATTAAACAAATTGCGTAACATATCGCATATTTGTTTGTTCACACATAGGGTGTGCGACATTGCAGCGTGACATACTGGTACTCGTTGCGACAAAATCACGTATACATGTGTAAGGCCCTGTGAACTGTTCAAGGGGATGGTGCCAGAATATGCGTTCTAAGCTTCACTTTAAAAATTTTTTTTGAAAAGTGGCTTAAAACATTAGCGTATATCATTTATCACAAATTTTAAATTATTCATCAGAGCAGACTGGTATTATTGTAATAAAAGTTATTTCATTACTTTCATTTCTATTCGCAAGTTCTAAAACGAACATTTTACCACGCTTTCAATTTAATATGGCCGACTCGTGAATAAAGCCTTATTACGACAACTGTACAGCACGTTGCGACCATTATGCCATTATTAGAATTCGCATTGACAGTAAGCCCTGCACGATGTGCTTGCTAGCCAAATGCTTGCCAGCCAATGCTTGCCTGTACTGCAAAGGTGGCTGGTCGGAGAAACCCCCTGGTCACGTGGTACTTTTGACGTCATATGATCAGAATCTATACTGCATTGCAAGTTTAACCATGTACTCCAAATTGTGCCCTCCTTTTGTCTCAACCACACCTAAAAAAATGCTAATGTTGACATTTCAGATTTGGATGTGGAGAGAGTGTACTGGAATGCTGGACCCCTCAAGAAAGTGGAGAACCGAACTTACGAGGCCCAGAAACTGTCTCATTTGCCCACGCGACAGGCCGTCCACTTAGAGTTCAGTGATATCACCTACACTGTCAAGGAAGGCAGCATGTGGTCCCGCAAAAGAGGTATAGGGCCTAAGGGCTGAGTCATTCAAAGGTTTCCATATTCATATATATACAAATGTCAGTTTAATCAAATTTTTCAATATTTCGTCGTGTCTGTTTAACAAGGTCGTATCTCCTAAACTGGCGTGTGACGTCATGTATGTGAAACGCAAGTATTCATTGTCAAAAGGTTGTATCTCGCTTAAAATAACCCGGGTGTACATTCCATGTCAATGGACGTTGCGATACGTGAGTTACGACCTTGTTGCATGGCATTCGCGCTTTGTTGCAGAACCTTGTTGGACTGACGCGACGATTTTACTACGTGAAAAAAATAGTCCTACTTTTGATCCTGAATAACTCCGTTGTTTATTTAACAATGGAATTAAACCAAAATTTCGGATCATATTCAACTAGGCATGAAAATTTTATGGAGCGTCTTTTATTAACTTTGTGCAAGAGGGTGAGATTTAAACACCATAGGAAAAAAATACTCACTTTCAGAATCTGACACTTTCGGCTTGGCATCCTCCAATGTTGATACAGTGCTGGAGACGGTTGCGAAAGGCACGTGCTGCGGCCGAAAGCTTCCGAAGGAATGCAGGATCAAACCTGAAATCATTGCAGACTTCCTCGATCCTTTGGCATGTTTGGCACAACACACGATTGAGGAGGTGTGCAATGAAATCAGGAGTGATCCTGCATTCCTTCAGAAGCTTTCCTCCGCAACATGAACCTTCCGCCACCGTCCCGAGCGCTGTATCCATGCCTCTTTTCTTTTAGGGAACAAGACCATTCTGAAGAGTCTGTCTGGTCGCTTTTCACCAGGGGAGCTGATTGCGATCATGGGGCCCTCAGGGGCTGGCAAGAGCTCCTTCATGAACGCCCTGGCAGGTTACAGGTATGCACCTTTAGGATGACCTCTCATGACCCATAATGAAGTCATCATGATGTCACTCCACTTTTGTCTGTAACACGTCCCTATCTATGTATACAAATTAAGTTCCAACCCAATCGGACTTATAGTTTTATAGATATATACACCTTTAAGATGACGTCACATGACTATTGGTGATGTCATGATGATATATAACTTGTCTAGGGCCAACTTAACCTTTGGTTTTTTGTCTGTGCCTAGTTTAAAGGCAATCTGATTGCATTTTATGTCCTATTTTGGTAATAGAAGAAAATGTAAAAGGTTTAAAAATTAATAAAAAATCTGGTGACGGCGTCGTCATGCAGTCACTTTGGATTTTGCATACTAGTAAAAGTACGATGTATCTACTAAGCACCAAGTTTCAAGAAGATTGACTCAGCATGTTCTGTTGATGAGATATGGCTTTTAGGTTGAAAATTCATTAAAAATCACACAATGATGTCATGACGTCACCTGAATTGTTACCTACATGTATAACACATCCCGGTCTACCTACATACCAAGTTTCAACCCAATCTGACTTAATACAGTTCTCTATATGGTCTTAAAACATGCACCTTTAAGATGACGTCATTGACCCACGATGATGTCATTATGACGTTTCTCTTTGGGAAACTATGAACTGGTGTTCTGTAACAGGAATAAATATGTTACACTTTATTGTGGTGTTGATTTTGTCTAGAACACACTCCATGAAGGGCACGCTCCTTGTCAATGGTCAGGCACGGAATCTCCGACAGTTTCGGAAGATGTCGTGCTACATCATGCAGGACTGCAACCTCTTACCTCACCTCAGCGTCATGGAGGCCATGATGGTCTCGGCCAACCTCAAGCTGCCCGAAAAGATCGGCCGAGGTGCCAAGAAGATTGTTGTAAGTTGGGTTGGTCTTGGAAATGTGCCTGTTGCATTCTTCCTCAGTTTTCCCATCCTCGTATTAAGCACAGACTCAGTCTCTCACATGAAGTGGGTATCAAGCACTTGCGTTATTGGAGAAGTCAATGATGGCCAAACCAATCAGTTATTTTATTTTACCTCGGTCATTATATTTGGAGAGAAGAAGCATGTCACCAGTTTTTGACTACATTATCAAGTCCCATCCCACTTGCCGGTCCCTCATTTGTCTGTCATATAAAGTTTCAACCATTACCATATTGTGCTTTCCGATACCATCCTGTCCTGTCCCTTCGTGTCACATTCTGTGACATTCTGTCCCATCGTTCCCTGATTTGTGCCATCCTGTTCTGTCCTTCCTTCCATCCCATCCTGCCTGCCCTATAGCTTCCTGACCATACTCTTACGTCCCTTGCCATACCTTCTGTCCCTGTTTCATCCTTCCTGTCCCTGGTGACCCCGTCCCATGCCATCACATTCAGTGTCATCCCATCCTGAGCCATGGTGTCTAGTCACATCTCAGCCTCACGCAGCCCTGTACTGTTTCATCCCCTCCTGTCCCTTGTGACCCCGTCCCATGCCATTCCATCCTGTGCCATCCCATCCTGTGTCATCCCACCATGGTGTTAGGTTCCATCTCATCTCACACAGCCCTGTACGTACCATTCATTCCCTCCCGTCCCTGGTGACCCCGTCCCATACCATCCCATTCCGTGCCATCCCATCTCGTGTCATGCTATTCTGTGCCATGTTATCAGATCACATCTCATCTCATCTCATGCAGCCCTGTACCATTTCTTCCCCTTCTTTCCCTGGTGACCCCATCCCATACCATCCTGCCCCGTGCCATCCCAACTCGTGTGTCGTGCCATCCTGTGCCATGGTGTCAGATTGCATCTCATCTCATGCAGCCCTGTACTGTTCCATCCCCTTCTGTCCCTGGTGACCCCGTCCCATGCTATCCCATCCCATGCCATCCCCTAAGTGTCATCCCATCCTGTGACATGGTGTCAGATCACATCCAATCTCATGCAGCCCTGTACGGTTTCATCCCCTCGTATCATGTCCCTGGTGACCCGTCCCATGCCATCCCATCCCATGCCATCCCCTAAGTGTCATCCCATCCTGTGCCATTGTATCAGATCACATCTCATCTCATGCAGCCCTGTACCGTTCCATCCCCTCCTGTCCCTGGTGAACCTGTCCCATACCATCCCGTCCCATGCCATCCCAACTCGTGTGTCGTGCCATCCTGTGCCATGGTGTCAGATCATAGCTCATCTCATACAGCCCTGTACCGTTCCATCCCCTCCTGTCCATAGTGACCCTGTCCCATGCCATCCCCTGGGTGTCATCCCATCTTGTGCCATGGTATCAGATCACGTCTCATCTCATGCAGCCCTGTACCGTTTCATCCCCCCTGTCCCTGATGACCTTTCCCATGCCATAATGTCCCATGCTATCCCCTGGGTGTCATCCCATCCTGTGCCATGGTGTCAGATCACAGCTCATCTCATGCAGCCCTGTACCGTTTCATCCCCCCTGTCCCTGGTGATCCCGCCTCATGCCATAATGTCCCATGCCATCCCCTGGGTGTCATCCCATCCTGTGCCATGGTATCAGATCACATCTCATCTCATGCAGCCCTGTACCGTTTCATCCCCCCTGTCCCTGGTGACCCGTCCCATGCCATAATGTCCCATGCTATCCCCTGGGTGTCATCCCATCCTGTGCCATGGTATCAGATCACATCTCATCTCATGCATCCCTGTACCGTTTCATCCCCTCCTGTCCCTGGTGACCCTGTCTCGTGCCGTCCTGTCCCATGCCATCCCCTGGGTGTCATCCCACCCTGTGCCATGGTATCAGATTACATCTCATCTCATGCAGCCCTGTACCGTTTCATCCCTCCTGTCCCGGGTGACCCCGTCCCATGCCGTCCCGTCCCATGCTATATCCCCTGGGTACCATCCCATCCTGTTGTTGAGGCAATCGTCAATGAATTGCCCATCTGTGACCATGAGTATATTTGGAAACAGTGCAGGACCCCATGTAGGGGGCCATTGACCAAAGCTGACCAATAGATGTCACCAAAGTACACTTTTGACGCATCCGATGTACATGTACATGTAATAATTTATTACTTAATTTAAAAAGTTTAGTGAAATAAATGTATTTGCAGAACCCATGATGCTTAATCAGTTCATAGGCGGGTAAGGGGGGTATTTACCCCCCCCCCCCCCCCCGCCAAATATATTGTAAAGACTGCCCTTTTCCATTCAAATGCCATTTTTTCACCAGCGCTTTACCCCCCTCCCCCCCCCCCCCCAATTTGTAAAGAGTGCCCTTCTTTTGTTAACAAGTACCCTTTAAAAAAAAAAAGTCATGCCTTTTTTGTGCCATCTGCCGTTACAGGTGCCTTTTTTTCAAAATTTTGCACATGTATTGCCCTGAAAAGCACCATATATTGACACCCCCCCCCCCCCCCCCCCCACTATTGGATTTTACGGAGGCCAATTGTCAAGAGAAAAAAACGTGTCAACATTTCAGCACGAATGTGCAAGTGCCTTTTTCAAGAAATGGTTACCCCCTTATAACCTTGCTACGCCACTGCAGTTGGTTGGTACAAGCATGCTGTGTGCAGTACGGTACAAACAAAATCCATTCTGCGTGGTGTAAGATGTTTTCGAAGGTGTAATGTTATAATCTTTCTCATACAACATGCAAAATTGTATGATTATAAGCAAAATTGAAACACGAGGATTTTTAGCAGGATTGGACATGATAATTTACAATGACCATAAACACAAAAATATATGTAAGTGCACGATATATTAATCCATCACTTACCCAAGACCGGATCGAAACAGAAAACATGAAGCATGTTTTTCTCCCAGGGTCTACTATTGACTCTTGGGAATGAGGTTAATTCAAGCTATGGCTATATCCATGCCATGCCCTAACTTCACAATCCGAGTTTCCCCCATACTTGATACAAGCACGTTTCATGGATACTGCCATCTTGTTCAAAATGACCCTCCCCTTTGTCTATCCCAACGCTCGATTTGTAACATCGCCATGCACTTAAATCATGTTTGTTAATCCTGAAATTGTATGGTAATAATAGTCTCGTCGCTGGTCCCAGAACAGCCTGCCTTTACTCACTGAGGCACATACATGTAGTTCCTAGTCCGAGTATTACCCAATCAACAGCTTAGTCCACATTTCTGATGACTGCTTGCTGATGATTGTGCCCTCAACACTAGTCTGAGTATCACCCGTTGTCCACTCACTGTTACCAGCGTCTTATATATCTGAGCAATGCATCGTATGCGACCTCGATCAATTCGATCAGAAATGAGGACTAGGCTGTTGATTGGTCAATTTGGCTGACATGTTTTTGTAATCAACAACGGGTTACAGAAGACCCAATAGGAGGCGCCCACTGAATGGTCAGAATCTCGAGGTCAATATGCAGTCTTGTTTTGCATTAGTAATCGCCGAATCTTCTTGCATATCATCTACATGTACATGTATTCCACAGACTACATAAATTGTTCTAGTCCTAAAAAAATCGACTATTTCATTGAATTCATTTCATTCAAAGATGCACATTCAACATGCAATCTACAATTAAATTATTAAATTAAAAGCACTTTGTATATCCAAACATAGTCATTTTTCAGGTTCATTTGCCTCATTGTACATGGAATCACATTCTCATTCAAAATAGCCATAACAAATCCATGATGTAAAACAACAAAAACCCAATCATTATATCATTTCAAAAATCGCAATATTCAGCTTCATACTACCCGGTTATAAATCAACCATTTCAATTTCATATAAAATCGTTTCTATACTGATATCTAAAAACAAAATCTAAATTGTGCTGTTTAGAATTGGGACAAAACCAGAGGATTCATTGTAAAGACAGAAAGGAGAAGTAAAAGAGAGCAGGTAAGGTTTATATTCAGCCAATCAAAATTATCAAAAAAATTGTTTTGACCAATGAAATTCAAGCTTATATTGCATTGTGAAATACAACCTTAATAAGACCATGAAATAACTCAAATTACAATAGAAATTCCCCGCAAACACTTGAATAATCTTTCTCGGCTTTGAGAAAGACTCACATTTTAAGACTATAGGTTTACAGATTACAATTCATTAAAAAATTAATATTGCTACATATTTTAACATTAAAAGCATGTTTTTTTACAGGACACTATAAAATCTAAGTTTTTTTTTACAAGAAAACCCCCTGTATATATTTACCAAATATCTCCATTACTTTGCCAGATCTCAAGATAAACACTGACATGTTTAACTTATTGTGTCAGCACATCAAAACTGTGTGCTAAACATACTATTCTAAAATACTTTTCTTTTGTTGTTAGTAAAAACTGTGTAACATTTTTTTGCTGCTCTCCTTCAAGTAACTTTAAATATCAAACAATCTTTATATCTCTTGAAAAAATTCTAACATACCAGGGTAATGACTGAAGTTCATTTGCCCAAAGGTAATACGTGTACCAGTATGTATGAATTTTCTCTTTTTTTCTTGGAGATTCTGAACTGATAAACCAGATAACTTTTCAACATTTTCAACATTTTGCTTAAACTCTCAGTGTGGTTTCTGGAATTGATGAACATACAAAACGTGAAATACAGATGGCCCTGTTGACCATTGAAAGATGAGCCAAGAAAGAAAAATTGTGTTCAAATGTCTTGATCGTTCATCAGGGCAGGATTATCCATAACTGTTAGGCCTACAAAAATTTTTAAAGCCTACCAAAAACAAAACTGAAACTAATCAACAATAGACCGATTATTAAGTCTGCCTGAAAATGCTGACTATGCTCTTTCCAATGTATATGAAAAACTAGGAATTGAAATCCTAGTATAATATGGATAGCATATTAGTGACCCAACTCAACAAAATGAGGCACAAGCCCCCAGAATGAATGACAAGCCATATTACACAATGGAAATCAACTTATTTAGGTAACAAACTAATTTGATGTATCACAAATAAGAGAAAAACTATGTGCTCAATACTGCATGGAAAAAAACTATCAAGTGAAAATATGCCCTTAAGACTTGTTCCGTTGGATCTGACCCCTACCTTGGAAATTACCTTTTAATTTAAAGTCAAGGGTCCCATTCCACCTGCATGTTCTTCCCCTTCTCAGGGCTGATGGACCTAACATGGTTTTCTGCTAAATTGTGCATACGTTTTCTCTGTTTTCTCAAAATGTTAAGAATCCACTGAGCTAAAACTTCAACAAGTTAGTTGTCATGCACCCTTCTTACAATTTTAAGCAATTTTGTTGTTTCAAACAAAAATGCACATAAGCAAATGTTCCCATGTACCTTCGAGACTCATTACCTGGTATCCATTCACATTTTTGTCTAGGTTGAAGAGATTCTAAGCCTACTGGGTCTGATGGAGTGTGCCCACACCAGGACCTCCAAGCTATCAGGAGGACAGGTCAAGCGCCTCGCCATTGCCTTGGAACTTGTCAATAATCCTCCGGTGCTCTTCTTTGATGAACCAACAAGGTAATGACCTCCTAGCCCTGAGATTTGATAACATCAAACATGCTTGCTTTCCGCATGTAGTTGTAACAAATTGGAGAAGCCATACACGTCAAATTTGGGATCCACTTTGTACCTGTCCCTGTTAAATGTGACGACTACAAGTTTGTATTTCTGGATGCACTATTGAGCAGACATGCAAGTTTTCTTTGGATCCGCTGATTTCTTGTTTTTGACTTCTCATGAATGCCATGACAAATTGAAAACAACGTACAAAGACTTGTGTGGGTTGGAGTTTCCTCGTCACTTATTTATCAAAACAATTGGTCTTTTAAACGATTGGGAGAAATCTTTAAGTATTTTTCTAAATTCCTAGTTGCATGCCTGATTGAGGTTTTCTTCCTCCAAGATTAATTATGTTAAGCAAATGACCTATCCAACAAATAAAAGTTGGAAGTTGTTTTTGATGGCACTGGAATGGCAAATTACAAAGTTCTGAGGTAACGGGGACAGGAAAAAATTCACATTTTGGACCAATGCATCTTTCAGACCTTTCATCCAATTTTCAGACCTTTTTATAAATTGACATTCTCATCCCTCTACAGGACGTAGAGATGTTTGATTTAGTGAATAAATTACGGACAACATGGTCGCGTCAGTGCAACAAGGTCGTATCTCCTAAAATGGCAGAAACGCGAAACGCGAGTTTCAGAATGTCAAAAGGTCGTATGTGGCTTAAAATAACCCGGATGTACACGCAAAGTCAATGGACGTCGAGATAGACGTTGTTGCATGGAGCGTATACGCGCGAGATACGACTTTGTTGCAGAATGGACATATGACTGTGTAGCCCCATAAATGTGGCCTATTTACTGGACTGCCTCCGTAAACATAGGCCACACATCCACATGTACAAAAAACGTGTCGACTTTGCCAAATTTTGATTTTCACATTTAGGCTTACTTTGTAGATTTTTTTGCTTTAGAAGCATTCTCACCCTCTATATAGGCTAATCAGAAAGTGCTGCCTTTTTCAGATGTTTAATTTTTGTGAAATTTCATGTTGAAATTTTGATACGCAAACGTGTGCAAATGTATCTGGAAATTTCACGAAAAATGGACATCTGAAAAAGGCAGCACTTTCTGATTAGCCTATATAGAGGGTGAGAATGCCTTTAAAGCAAAAAAAAAGGAAAAAGTAAGCCTAAATGTGAAAATCAAAATTTGGCAAAGTCGACACGTTTTTTGTACATGTGGATGTGTGGCCTAGTTTACGGAGGCAGTCCAGTAAATAGGCCACATTTATGGGGCTAATGACTGTGTTGCACTGACACGACGACATGTTTGTGCTATGCACTTAACTGTGCTGTATGCTTTATTCAGGACTTTCTACAGAGTGTTCACTTTATTACAGTCATTATTTTGAAGGCCATCACCTATTGGCGGTAATTTTATATTGTAAGGTGGATACGTTACACAGGATTCTCACTTTTTTGTCTTTTATTACATCTAGAGCTTGGTTATCACCATTCATGTATTTGTCTCCTGTTTTTTGCACCGATAGTGGCCTTGATAGTTCCTCCAGTTTCCAATGTCTGTCTCTCTTGAAGTCATTGGCTCGAGGCGGCCGGACAGTCATCTGCACGATCCATCAACCCAGCGCCAGGCTGTTTGAAATGTTTGATCAGGTTTGTTTATAGGCATGGAATTAATAATATGTTTACAGACAGACAGCAGTTTGAAGTCTACAGGGTGAGTAGAAAAAACTGAAACCCAAATAGCAGGACCAATTCCTGAATGAAGTTTTGCCTGTAGCACTTTCAAAATCTAGGATATGAAAGCCCAATAAACAAGCTTTGTTTTAGTACAGGAATCATTCAAATCACTCATGTACTTTTCTAGTTACGGAATTTTGAACACAAACACCATTTTCATGTTCTGTCCACGGATCACAAAAAAAGTGAAGTGTTCTTTCAGCAAGACAAAAACAATTCACATAGGGATGTGTTTGAATCGATTCCGTTTTGCCGAAAGAACACTTACCTTTTTGTGATCCGTGGACAGAACTTTAAAATGGTGTTTGTGTTCAAAATTCCCTGACTTGAAAAGTACACGAGTGATTTGAATGATTCTTGTACTAACAGAAAGCTTATTGATTGGGCTTTTATATCCTCGATTTAAAAAGTGCTACAGGCAAAACTTCATTCGAAAATTGGTCCTGCCATTTGGGTTTTTTTTTTTTACTCACCCTGTACACTCTCAGATCAAACATTTGTACTTACAGGAGAAGTCTCACTCTCATATGTCGTGGATAACTTTTGGACACGTTTATCCGCATTAGGCCAACCTCGTACCCAGGGTGTCGAGCAGTATGCGCCCATCACTACCTGCTCTCTCAGCCTGGTATTGGATCATTTGCATGTGCAAGATTTTTGAAAAGTATGCAAATGAGGAATAGTCTGGTGCCTGCATGTGCGTTACATTTAGCGTTTGTTTTTGTATGCGGTGTCTGGGGTAAAAACAGAGTCAATTCGTAGCAGCGCGAGCATGGCGTGAGTTACGAAAACACGATTTTTATTCAATTAAACTGTTAAGATCTTAACGAAACAATATGCAGTATCACATTTCATATTAATATTAACAAATTGGAAAGGAAATTAATATTTTCGAGAAGGCGTGGACGAATGATCGCGAAAACACGTACTGCACGTTGTGAATAACAACACCAAGTACACGATAAAAATCCATTACTAGCCAATTGCGGTATCGAATCAGGATACAGGAAGAAAGTTTCCTATCCAGGGTTTACTATTGGAAACCGTGTTGGAAATAAAGTAAGCACTGGGGACGAGGTTGGCATTAGGCCCATTGCATTGTGTTAAATAGTTGTAGGATTCTTACCAATTTCCCTGGAATAATAATAATAATAATAATTTTTAAAGTGCACATATCAACCAAACCGGTTGAAATGATTACCCTGCTCATTGGGCCAATGAGAACATTCCAAAGACCATTCAGCTCCCTGGGGAGTATGCAGCTCAATGCCACCATATCGGTGGAATCGGCTACATCAAACAAAACCATCTCTACCCTCGAAGATGCAGCTACTTCTGGTTGGGTAGAAGCAATGAATGACAAAGTGACCTGCCCAAGGACACAAACCACAAACCCAGGCTGGACTCTAACCACAACCTTCAGCTTTACACACGAGGTCATGAGTTCAATGCATCAGACCATGAGGCCGCGGTACTCCATTGCACCTCATACAATGGGCCTTCCGTAACGAAGCTATCAGCATTGTTAACAAACTAGGTGAAAATATTAGGGAAGTTGTTGTGTAAACTGCGCCTATTGTGGATGTGTCCACAACCTATCCAGGCCCGTTGCCAGTCCTGAGCGTTGGGGGGGGGGGGGGGATAGTACCAACTAGGGGGCCATAGTACCAACTAGGGGGGCCATAGTACCAACTAGGGGGCCATAATACCAACTAGGGGGCCCACTACCATAAAAATACACATGTATGGCCTTTGCCGTTGGGGGGGGGGGGGGATTGCTCCCCCTCACCAGGCCCCCCTTGACGACAGGCCTGAATCCCAGATATTTATTGAGATGACTCCTCATCAACAATTCTGGTGAAATTGGAATGCTTTATGGTGCCCTACTATTCAGGTCACTACGATGTACCTGACCACTCAGTTCCATTGACAGAAATTCGCACAAAATTTGGGACAATTTTCTTGAATTATTCTGCTAATCGCAGAAACCAAAGTTACAATGGGACACTATAGCAGTAAAAAAAAAACACATTTAGAAGAAAACTGAGTGCATAACCCACACGCCTTTTTGATACAAAGAGCGCGGTTACCTTGCTGTCATGGTTTCTTGGACAAATACAGTAATAACTTGTTGTATTTGTCACTATGCCCGGGGATTGCATTCAGACTAGATCACCGAATCTTTCATTTTGTAACAATGTTTGTTTTTTTCAAAATGTATTTCTTGTTATAGCTCTATGTGTTGGGTGAGGGACAGTGCATCTACAGAGGGACAATGCAAGGTCTGGTACCTTACCTAAAAAATCAAGGCCTCATTTGTCCACCGTACCACAATCCTGCAGACTATGGTAAATAAAGGATAATCTCAAATTTGTTTTTTTTTTATGGGGGGTGGGGTATTATTTGTTTATTACTTTTTGTGATTGCTGCTTTAGGAAACATCGCACTAGCTCCCGGCGTAAATAAGGAGAGTTGCCACTGTGTTTAATCAATTCAATTTCACAGTTTCGAAAATACAACAGCATATAAAGGGAGATATTTTTTATTTCGTGGAGTATTTTTCTGAATGTGTCAAACACATTATGGTTATGACTAACGATTGCCCATGAACAAGACATCACAGATTTGAAGACCACCAGCATACGGTTGTGAGCATGGTTGAGCACACTGGTACATCTACATGTAAAAGCATGTGTGGTATATTTTCTATGAGGTTATGGGTTCAATTCCTGCTGAAGTCAACTCCCTTGTTTCAACCTTAAACCCAGTAATTGAGATAGCATCCGGGGAGTACGGCAACCTCATTGCCAACCTCTCTAAGCTCGTAGACGAAGGCAAATGTGAGGAGTTCCTCAAGCTAGAGCCCTCCCCCCACAGCACCAGCACCAACAGCCTCAACAGCAACAACAGCCTGACGTACGCCCACTCCAACGGCGACGCCGCATCGTTGGGTATCTCCATGGCAACAAAGAACGAAGGCAGCATCACAAATGGTCACATGCCCTCCGGCGCACAATCCAACAGGGTAACAACCAAAGCGGTCTTTAAGGAAGCCAATGGTGTCACAAAACATTCTGTTATGGTAAGAAGCTGATATGTGCTTGTTTGTCACCCATAGGCACTTGTTGGGCTCATTTGTAAATACAGTCGAGTCTCGTCATAACAAACTCGTTCGGACCTAGCCAAATTGTTTGTTATATCAGAATTTTGTATTAAGAGGAACATCAGTCCCATTCATTGTGCATATAAATGCACAGTCGGGACCAAGGCTTTATGTTTGTTATAACCAGAATTTTGTATTAACAGAGTTTGTACTAACGAGAGTCGACTGTATTAGCACTCACGCCCATATGGAGGTCATTTTGACCCATTGGTATTCATGTCCATATGCGACACATTCATAAATACCTGAGGCAGTTTACCCATTCCTATTGGTCAAGAGCCCGTCACATGGGTGGTTTTGTAAACCACTGATAAAACACATGTCGGTTTTAAATACAATTCCTGCGTTCTGCGCCACATGGCTCAGGAGATTTTTAGCACTACCCATGCAATGTACATACCAAGTTCATTTGTTATGTAAAATGAAATTCCATCAAATTATGCTCCTTTCACCTTACAGTGCAACTGTTTCTTTTAAAGGTTTTTGCCGTTGTGAATGATTAAGTGTAAAAAAAAAAAATTAAAAAAAAAAAGTTTTATTTGAATTTTATATTTTATAATTATAGATGCATTTCTGTATCTTGATTAACCTCTGACCTTTGGCTTGTTCACAGTCATGTGGTGACCTTGACCTTGACAGTGGACATTTTGCCACCAGCTTCCTAACGCAGTTTAGTGTTCTCTTCAAGAGGGCGTTCCTGACGATAGTCAGAGACCAGGTAGAGTGACCATACAAGATTTTAATGATTCTGAAGTGCATAGTCAAATCCTCACAAGTCCATCACAACTCAAATATATCAGATTCAAGTCAAGCTACAAGCAATCAAAATTACAAATACCTGTACATAGGCATGACAAGATACCATACTGCTCATTCCGTTAACTTAATTATGACCTTATTTCTGATTTGACCTGTTGTAGACTTGTGATTTGCTTTTAATTAATTTGACTTTAATAACCAGACTTCTGCAATTTGGTCTCCACTTTTTTTTAAGTAAAGTCTGTCATGAGCCAATGTGGCCCATCAGAACAGCGTTTATCTCTGGTTTCAGTAGCATGTTACGAAGGAGATTATTTCTATTCCCCCTGGATGGGATGCTAGTCCATCGCAGGTTACTCCCCAGCTAAATACCGGTACCCATTTATACTCCTGGGTGGAGAGGGGCAAGTGGGGGTAAAGCAGCTTCAATATAATTATGACCAGCAGCTGGATTCGAACCCCTGACCCTCTGACCATGAGTCACGAACCCTAACCACTTGGCCACACTCCCCCTAGTTTTTCAGTTTCACCCCAAAATACAAAATAGTTGAGTTTTCTTGGGTTTTTTTCTACAGCTGCTGACACACATACGCATCATCTCCCACATTGCCTGCGGTCTCCTAATCGGGCTGCTGTACCTGAACATCGGGAATGACGGCAGCAAGGCATTCAACAACACGGGCTTTCTTTTCTTGTCCATTCTGTTCTTGATGTTTACTGCTCTGATGCCTACGCTACTTTCATGTGAGTGAAATTTTCATTTGGGACTCATTTACAAAACGTCAGTAAATTACGCTACTTTCATGTGAGTGAAATTTTCATTTGGGACTCATCCACAACACCTCAGTAAATCAAAACCTGACTGTTCTAGTATGGGATTTGATGTATCAAATTTGCACGTCAATCAATTTTCGTTTCTTAGCTTTCTTTAAAACATGATTTTTAAAGTGTTTGTCAATATTCAGAGCAGTACAGTGTATGTAAAACCCCTCAAAACACACCAGGCCAGTTTTAATTGTTATTATTATTATTGTTTTTTTTGGCAGTTCCTCTGGAGATGGGTGTCTTTGTCCGAGAAAACCTCAACTACTGGTATAGCATCAAGGCTTACTATTTAGCCAAGACCATGGCAGATATGCCATTTCAGGTAAGTCAGTTTCAATATCCTCTACTGACCTGCATGGTCCCATAAGGTATTGTGACACGGGGTTTGTCGAAAGCAAGAGGCAAATCGAAAGTTAAAGAAATGCAGAGCTGCCATGTCCCAACTTTCCTCAAAAAGAAGAGAGTACCACTTGGAGACTACTAGTAGGTGCTGGATCTTGCATTCGTACATTAAGGAAGGGATTGACATGTAGTTAATAATATTCTCTCTCCTAGGGTTAGGGTTAATTGTGGAAATTGTGTTAGCATCAGGACCTATCAGCGATGAACTGCCTAAAGTTAATAGAAAGGCTCTGTGAAGTTACTGTAATCCCCTTTGTTAAGATGTTGGTCTTTACAATAAGGACTAATTGTTCTTTCAGTTTGTGTTACCAATCTTCTACTGTACAATAGTCTACTGGATGACAGACCAACCTCCCGAGGCAGGGCGATTTGTCCTCTTCATTGCCATGGCAACCATGACATCTCTATGTGCGCAATCATTAGGGCTGCTTATCGGGGCAGGGTCTACATCCTTACAGGTAAGAAAAGTATTGAGTTGACTTTCCCTTTCTGCTTTACTGGTTTTCGAATCCTGCATGCTGTGGCCCACACTTCATCAGCACATTATCCAGGTCTGCAGCTTTGGTGGTACTTTGATGGGAGACCATTACTTTAATGAGAGACCATTGGGATTCGAGGTCTGTTGGGATTGTTGAATTATAAACTGCAAACAGGCACTCAACGTGTATAGGTCATTTTGTTAGGGCTGTTATGTCAGTCATTTAAGAGCACAGAATTGCAAGGGAACACTGGTTCTTAAAAAGGAATGTTAAGCTACCTCGGCACACATTAAAACTTGCCATGACTATGTTCCCTCCACCAGGAATCATGGTTCCATTGGACATTTCAAAACGAAGAGTAACGTTGATTGTTGAAATACTCACTGAAGCAGCACATCTCATTTCCTAGGGCACATCAAATTTTCACTGGACACATCTCCAGCCTGTTAATCTTGCTCCTTAAGCAGATCGTAGTGTTCTCATTTAAGGTAAAAATATTTATGAGAGTTTGTCCCTTGCATCAATATTATAGATCTATATATATATCTGTAACCTGCTCATCTGATTCCCTAAAGAAGCTCCTTAACTTCTTGTGTCAGGTGAATCTATGCTAGACTCATCTTTACCATGCGCTTGTTTGTCATGAAACCTGTTTGATTTCAACATCCAGAGCTTGCTTCATTAAGTAAGCAAACTTGTTTCTCCTTTATGGTGGGATGTCATTCTTCAGCACCCCATCCATTTTTATAAAGAAGCTGCTTCTTCTTTTTGGAAGGCAGCTTTATGATCTTAACCAGACGTTCATTATAATTGGCCCATCCTAATACCCGAAGGCAGTCTTTGCTGGCACACTTCTTCCATCCCTATTCTTCTCATTTTGTGAGCTCCTGTTAGTTACTTTCAGATGAAGTCCTTTTACAGGTGGCAGACATTGCCTTACTCATCTGAAACCGCTTGCAGAAGCACAAATTATGCCTCACTTCAGGCTGGAGTCTTTATCAAACCCATCTTAGGTTTTCTTAAGCTGTTCTGACATTGTCTTTTTTGGCAGCTGTCATCAGCCCAGGTGACAATTTTACCAGACTCTCTTTAGCATTGCCATCCAGCCCTCTGAAGTAGTTTTGTTTTAATTGAGCTGGAAGCATTTGCTGGACTGATCATTTGCATTCTGTTTCTTAAACATGTTAAAGAAGCCGCTACACTTCCCATTAAGGTGGCAGATGTAACTGCACACATCTCCAATTTTCCGTTCCCTTGAGCTGATCGAATGTCATTGCTGGAGGCAGTTCCGATCCTAATTTGGCTCCAAAAAGATGCGCTATTCTTAAAGTTGGACCTCTCCAGAGCTCATCCTCTTTCCTATTCTCCTGTCAGATTGAAGCCTGTGCCTAACCCAACCTGCTCTCACGAATTATTCTTGTGTGAGGGAGCACTACTCGTCCTTGTCAAGCCTGTTTCCATCATCCTTGAGCTGCTCTGGGAGCAGCTCCCACATATTGATCTTGTGTCAGATAGCATTCATCATTGAATCAATCTCCATCATTCTTAAACTGCTCTGAAAGCAGCATCTTTTTTTCTTTCTAACAGAAGTCTGTACTGAATCCATGATGAGAATCCCATACCAGCTATTATAAGCATTTCATGTTCTCCTTTTAGGTTGCAGTCTTCGCTGGACCCATCTCCAGCATCCCCATCCTGCTCTTCTCAGGGTACTTTGTCACCTTTGACACCATCCCCTCCTACCTCCAGTGGATCTCTTACAGCTCCTACGTCCGCTACAGCTTTGAGGGGATGATGCTGACCATCTACGGTATGGACCGTGGCGAGCTGGGCTGCCCAGTAAACACCACCTGCATGTTCCACACCAGCCAGGAGGTCCTGGAAGCGTTAGACCTCGGCAAGGATTCCAAAGTCTACTGGGATTTCTTGATCATGTTTGGCTATTTTCTTGTACTGAGAATATTCTGTTTTGTAGTGTTGAAATTCAAGGTTAGACAACATCTAGGTTGATAAGGAATTGTTAAGATGACTAATAAAGTACTTTTAACTACTGTCACAGTATTTTGGGAGTATATTGTGTTACACATGTACATATTTACAGAAACCTTCTGAACTTGGGGCCACTGCTGATGGTTGTTTCTGTTAAAAATAAATGAGCTTACATGCATGTAGTATCTGTTCATGCCTTACACACAGGAACAAAATGTGCTGATGTCAGATGCAAGGGGCAGGTCTATGTGTACTGCACATTAATTTTTTCAATTTCAACATTGCGGATGTTGAAAAACATGCATTATAAAGGATTTTTATGGATGTTTTATGGATGATTTATTGGATGGTGATTTACATTGTCCTGAAAATGTTCAATTCTGTACTCTTGCTGAGTTGACATGTGGACTACGTTATTGTCTTGTCCCTACCCCACCATCCACTCTGCCACGCCATCATAACCGGGTGTTTTATCGACTGAGCCCGCCTAATCCGCCGATGAAGAGGGGAGAGGTCCGTCAACTGCAGGAGTCCACCGTACAGGTTCACTCATGTAGTTTAGCTGACCAGCTGATGTCAGGATACCAGGTTGTGGCCGTACACAAGCAGTTCCGTGGAGCCATATATGAGCTTGAAAGAACGGTTGGAACCAGAGGTTAGTGCCTCCATAAACATGGGTCGGCTGCCCATTGCCAAAGGTACTATCCATGGTGACTGCTCTATGTTCCGACACCCCTATGTTCCGACAACCTAGATTGTGTTACTCCCGGTTAGGGTTAGGGTTAGGGTTAGGAATAGGAATATGTGCAGTCGGAACATAGGGGTGTCGGAACATAAAGGTGTAACCCTATCCATCTAGAACACTCCAACACCCCAGTACTCCTGTTATAATCCATAATTTGATATACTTCATGAAAACCCCAAACGATTGGGCCATATGATTGTTAGTTGATCACATGACTGCGTTCAAACCAAAACTATCTGTCTGACTTTAACAATGTGTACTATACCGAGTATTCTGTGTGATTTTTTATATCACATTTCCCTAATAGTAATCAAAATGTGCAGTAATTAAATGTATTTATGATATACATGATTTTCCTTTTTTGAACATTTTTTTTTATTCCACTCAAATGCATTTTGTTAAGTCTTTCAATGTTCACTAACTTTTGCAAACCAGACCTGATCATGTGCTGAATTGTGCATCTGTTAATGAAAGTTTATATTTACTTGTCATTGTGTATGTATGCTTTATAATGCATATTTTACGATTTGTGGAATGCACTACCAATGTATATGAGCATTCATGATTTTTTTTTATTGGCTTCAATATTTTACAAATTATATTGCCTGCTGAATATGTATTTTTATTAAAAAAAAAATGAAAATATAGAATAGCTTTTATTTTCAGAGTCTCTTTACAAATTCTGAAATAATTTTAAAGATTTTTTTATGAAATAAATGCATGTAATTAAAAAAGTCTGTTAATTAGACCTTATAATTAGAAATACATGTTAAATAAAAATGGCTGCTGTTGTATCGTATTGCACTTGCCTTTTTCATCATTAAAAAACTTACCACAAGATCTACAGTTCCTAAGTGATATGACTTTTCGTAGGCTAATTAGGAAGTCAAAATCCTACTGTGGTTGCCTTTGAGAAAGAATCTGCCTTCAACAAAATAGCACAGGTCTCTCCCAAATGGGGTGCAATAATGTGGCTTAGCAGAACAAAGCAAAGCCATTAGCCTTGAGTAGTTAAGACGTTTGTTATACTGTGCAATTACATTGTGTTGGCATTTTGATAATTATTGGTGCAATAGTCATTTCAACAATGAAATTAATTCCAACTCCGGGGGGGGGGGGGTTCGTGAAAAATATGAACATTTGAGAATTCAGGACTGTTAGGGTTTATAGGGAGAATACACAGATGGAGAGGATGTAAATCTTGATGCTGTAGGCCCCCTATGCTTGCTCGCACTAGCTTGTTCCTCATATGGATGAAGTTATAAGAGATCATTTGCATATTGCATCCCCATTGAGGTTCGATCTTGTGTTCCACAGGAAACATACGCCTATTGTTCATTCATTGTTACTGAATGTTAAGGGTTTATTGGGAAGAAAGTGTTCTCTGCATTTTGGCGCTGTTACTATTTACGTTGCCAATGCCAGTGTCTCAATGCTTCTAGTCTTGTTCAGAATTTTCAATAGTAAAAATTCACAAGTAATTGTGTAAATAAAGTTGTTTCATCAGCAGTAATTAATTGTGATCGCGCTTCAATAGAGCACGTTTAGTCCTGTTCATTGTGTGATTCTAAGTCCAATAAGAAATGTCCCTTTGCAACTTAAGCCGCGTCCGCATTGGAGTTATTGTAAAAAGTAACCGCGAATGCTTGTTAACATCCATAGTGGTTATTATACCGTACGCGTGTATCATATCCGCACTAGGATTAATTATAGTAAAGTTGAAATCATGATCGAGAAAAAATGCCAGGACATTTGAGTACTGCTGGTTATATTTGTCGTCATGCACCTTATTTTATGCAAGTCTATTTTACCTTGAGTAACATGCAGCAAATGTTTTGATAAAAGAGTGCTGCTTCAATGCCTGAATAACGTGCCTACTATTTTCGTTACAGCAAGAAAATGCAGTTCTGTGACTTTAATTTATTCGTCATGTATTGGAGTGTGTGGCGCTTTTAATAGATTAAAAAAAGTTATATTGTTTTCATGCATTTAACAACAATTAGTTATGCGTGACTTAGATAATTATGGTCAAGTGACCATGGATTTAAAGGGCAAGTATTTCTGTTGACATAGAGCTTTGAACTAGAGAATGTTAGCGAGAACAGCATGTAGAATTCTCTTTTGGGAAGATGTGGTTCTGAAAAGAACTGGTGGGTTGTGAGTAAACTCGACGTTTCGAACAGAATGATCTGTTCATCATTATTTCGAGTATTTTGAAGACGAACAGAGCATACTGTTCGAAACGTCGAGTTTCAGAACCACCGGTTCGTTTCAGAACCACACATCTTCCCAAAAGAGATTTCTACATGGTGTTACGGAACCCAATGAGTTAGATACGAAAATGTGTTGCTTTTCTTGATTTAAATTATAACTTGTTTTGGAATCTTTAAATTGTGTTTCAAGTCTTAACCGGCGTAGCCGGCATAATGATCTTTTCTATATTTGTTTGGCCAGTTCTGCTTTTGGTTGTGTGGCTTGCTTTATAACAGGTGCTGTTATAAGAACTTTTAATTAATATTCATAAATACCTCAGACAGTTTAGCTATTCCTATTGGTCGAGAACCCATCACGTGGGCGGTCTTAAACGGATGATAAAGACATGGCTAGCTGGTCTTAAACACTTTTCCAGTGTCACAATAAAATGTGGACTCCTAAAAATCCAGTTCCTCTTACCGTTTCATTGGTTGAACGTTCACAATCCTCACGTAGGCATGCGCAACACTACATGCGAGTCAGAATTTTATAGTTCTAAATTCAAAACGCAACGCCCCATGCAGGTGCATTCTGCGTGACATCGCGCAGAACGTGCTACGCGCGCGTCAATCTCCATAAAAGGGTTGTTTACATCTTACTCGCCAGCTGAACACTCCATTATTTTGCTAGAGGGATGTTTCAAAAAGCATGAAGTGAACTTGTTGAACAAAATCGGGATTTTTTGAACGAATTATTTGATATTTTTTTACGGATAAGGTATTTATGAATGGGAATAAATATGTGCTCGGTCGGTATTTATCACTCTGTTTAATACCGCTTAGAGTCTGGGTGCTGATAATTACCCTTGCCTCCGGCTCGGGTAATTATCAGCACCCAGACTCTAAGCGGTATTAAACGAGTGATAAAAACCTCCGGAGCACACATTTATTCCCTTATTATAGTCCGCCGGACTACTTTCTCCAGGATAGGGAAACATTTTCTATTTTTCGTCATCATATAACATAATTTATCTAGATGTTGTTTTTCGTCTATTTTCCTAACATTGACGAAATTGGTGTGCACTTTTCTAAGAACATTGATACAGAAACTCAAAGTGGTCAATATAATATTAATGTACTATGGGTTTGATATTTTATCAGTATTATCTTATACTTGAAATTTAAAATTGGTGGTTTTTTTTAGTATCATGCTTTAAATATACAAAATGAAATTATAAACAATGTCCTTGAAATTGTTGTGGTAAAAGTGAACTTACGGGATTTGCTAGAATACATAGCCTTGTATATGCTTTTGTGCGGAATTAGGAAAATGATTTTTGTATCGCTTGTAAATTTGGTTTATTTTTCAGTATCGCGTTTGAAATAATTATACGAAATGAAACCTTTTTTAAATGTTTGTTGGTAAAAGTGGTGAATTATGGGATATCCTAGAATACATAGTAAATAGTAATTGTGTCTTGTCTGTGCCGTTTGGGCAAAGTCGTCATGTCAATCGCGACATTGTCTCGATTCAACAATTCCAGACTTCTGCCCTTTACTACAAGAAAACGAGACCCATGGTTAGCCTAGTAAAACGGGTCCCATCGCGCACACAATGTATTCAATTGATCCACATTGGCTTTAGACATTATGCGTAAAAAGAGGAGTCGGAGGGCAATGATTTTGTATCACATGGATGAGTAAACCTTTTAACATTTATTGTTAAGCCTCTGAGATACCTGCAAAGAACATGATCCATTCACTGGAATATCTTTACAAGCACGTGGGCCACACAACGGGCCGGATTAAGTTTGTTAGCGTTAGGGGGTAATCCTATACGTTAATACTGCCCGGCTCACAAGTGCAGTCGGTCTGTAAATCAGTGAGTCATAATTGAGAGAGGTATAAAGGACGCTACTTTGGAACCAGTAAAAAAAAATGTTTAACGGGCAATTATTATACGGTGCCAGCTTCCTCTTCTGTATAGTGTAGGCGCGGCAATCCCGAGTATAGGACCCTGCACGCCACCGCAATTCAAATGCTCTTCAGTAATTTTGTCCAATCGGATGAGTATATATACTCCTAATAAAACTGTGTCATTCTGTCAGATATATCAAGGTGCATCCCACCTTTAAATGTATCCTTTAATGGAAATGTAGTGTCCGCAAATATATTTAATTACTGGTTTTAATGTGTACAAATTATGAATGAACTTTGTATTATAGATTAATGTGTACATGTATAAATAATTCGTTTGTATGGAAATAATGAAACGATTTTTGTTAGTCAGGTGGCGTATTGATACGGAAAGTGACCTCTCTGTTTTGTGAGAGTGCAGATGAATTAACAGGGCGTACTCTATTCTGTCTCGACAGAAAGCAACCTATGAGATATAATATAATAACCAAAACGCGTACTGATATAGCGAAGAGATAGTCGATCGTTTATCTGTTTTCCAAAACCTTGATTACAATTCAGTAAACTTTTTGAAAACACAAGGCAGTGTCCAATTTTTTTGCCGTTTATCTGTTTTCCAAAACCTTGATTACAATTCAGTAAACTTTTTGAAAACACAAGGCAGTGTCCAATTTTTTTGCCGTTCCAGGCATATTGTTGCGTTGGTGCTTCTCAGGCCTGGGACCAATTGCATGATACAGCTGAGCAGACAATTTGCATAACACCCTTAGCAAAAACCGTCAACGACTGCGTGGTTACCAGTGCACAGTCTGTACATTATGTTTTTGACTGGTAATCTCCTTTAGCTCAGTGTGAGGAATTGTTCATATATCGCAGATCTGTTTGTCTTGAAAATTATCATTGCTAATTGGCAAATTCAAATGGTCCGATGGGGTATCATTATAAATTGTAAACGATACCTTATATTGAAATCAAGTGTCTTAATTTTCAATTATCAAAATAATCATCTCATCGAAAGTTATATATAATAAAAACGATTATTTATTTAAGAAAGCCACACTGTTTGTTTTGTTTCATTATGAATCATACGGACGCACAAATGCATTCGGATGCCTCGTAAAAACCAGACGCACAAATGCATTCGGATGCCTCGTAAAAACCAACCGTAATGAAAGCCAAACTTCAGAGACGCGTCAAAACAATAAGAAAACGAAACCAAAGCAAAAACCAAATCAAACAAAACGTTTATAATCCTTGTTTGATAGTGTACAAATAAATCCATGCACTGATTGCCAGTGATTGATAACGTCTAAAAAACGGGTGATGTATGTAGTTATAGCGGATAAAGCAGTAGCCCGGCCTATACCGTTCAACGATATATGAAAAATGGGAAAGCAAATACTGTTGTGATAAATCTTGGCCTATGCATGGTGCTTGAAAGAAGAAAAAAAACTAAGTAGGTCTATGCAGATTATCATTCGAAACGAAGTTCCCACAGGGGACCCCAAATCAATGAATACAAGTTATTAAAGGCCACGTGAATCACAAACCCTTTCAAACAAGAATAATCATATAATCTTGTTTCTCTGTGATTCTCAGGGAGATTGCTGGAGGCCTGCCGGGCACCGTTTTGTTGGTTTTGAAGTCATAACTCCAGAATAAGAGCTGAAAACTCCATCTATCCACGTGTAACAGGTCAAAATACCAAGGAAGCAATGAAACAGCTGTCCA